ATTTTAGCCACAGCCCATGAAAGTGATAATATACACTGGTCGTGTGTTTGCTACCTGGCTGAGTCTGAAAAACTTTCCATCATACCGGGTATGACAGCATCTTCTCTACAGTCACTAGTTGTGGTGAACTGATTGGAAAAAGTTACAATAGATATGGGCAGTTTCGAGATCTTATAGTCAAAGTTCTTGAGAGCACCCAGGTTAACCGGACAAGAGGTGTCAAAGCTATTCGTCTAGTTGAGGCTGTGTTGTTTCGGTCTCTTTTCGGCTGGCATTAATATTGTCGATTGTGACTCGTGAAATGGTAGGTGACTGCGTCTGGGTTGATAGAGTGTTATTTCAGTGATGCATTCTGAGAATAAACCTGTGAAAACTAACCTTGTCTAAGTTTGGTTATCGAGTGGCCTAGTTAGAGATTGTTCTCTTGTCTGGTCGTAAACCAAACCAAATTAAGAGCCATTTGTATTTGCATTCAGCTGTGTATCTACAGACCAGGATACGCATGCAAAGATTTGTCTCTCAAGTTTGTTTTCACTTTGGTGTGCACTGACCTACCGACCAGCTACTCGAGTCCTCGAATATGCGCTTTCCTCCAGATATGGAAGCGTTTTTATTGGACACAGTACCATACACCCGACCAAAATCAGGCATTCATGGAGGTGTGGTACAAAGATGGCATCTGTAAGCTTAATAGACAGCGCTCCAAATTCGATCAGCCACTATCTACCTGGAAGAGTGCTGGAAAGTGTATATCTTAAGAAATCCGTCCTTTATTTGTATGACGGGTTACTCAAAAGCTAACGATTGGTTCAACAATATAGTACACTACACGGCTGTGGATCACTCAATTTCAGTCACAAAATATGATCATATTGCCAAAAAAAATCAAGCATCTTGGAAACGTAGGATACAAAGGTGGTTGCAGTGTACGACTGTAATTAAGGGAAAACATATACGTATACTCACAATTGCTGCACTCCTTCCAACACTACTAACGTGACAATCTCCAACGTGTTTTACAGAAGAAGGTAGGTTAAAAGTTGGAAATGGAAAACACCGATTTTACCTTAATCATGCACGGGCTCGTAAGATTCACATCCTTTAAAGGAAATCCGTGATCAGGTTTTAGTCGTTGGAACTATTGACAGAAATGACTGAGGGAACACCCAGAATCTATTTGGTTAGATCTGTTGTGTGGAGACGAGCTAAGTTATGAGAAATCAGATTATTTTCCTGAAGCCGCCGGAGAATGGGTCGAAGGGTGGGGAAGTTACTCTCCGGGATTAGCCGAAGCCACTAGGTTTTTGGAAGCAGTGTGACAATTGAATAGTGATTTGTTACCATAGGATATACAAATATACCTTAATGTGGATTTCAATCACCTAATAATCATACAGAGCAACTGGCTAATTCAATTCCGTTCGTATATATTTGCATTTCAGCACATTTAGTGGGCTTAGTATAAGTGCACTGACTGCTTACGGTATTTAGGCTTGTGCTGACAAAACCCCTTAAGAAAGGACCTCCACAAATGCGAACCATAATGTTCTTTTTATGGCGTTGCTTTTTGAACGATTTGACTGCATTTCTCTACGAAATGTCTTAACGATCTCTGAAGAAGATTGTTGCCACGGACATTAGGTTGTCGAAAGATCTTCTCATGACAAGCTCATTGGTTCTTCCCGATGAACACCAGTGCCCACATGACTGAATATATGTGTCTGTTGAGTTACTTTTCACACAGCTATGTAGGTAGTACTATGTTTCTAAGAACACGAATCAGGGGTCCCACCTTTATTGATTGAGCCTACGCATTAGTAGGAAGATAACCTCGCAGCCTTTCGAGATTAAACAGAACTGAGCAATTCTCAAAGAAAAGAGCGACCTTTGGTCGTTCTCGGGCATTGAACACACATCTGAAAGGTTGTGCAATACATTGCGTGGAAAAGTCAGCTACCTGCAAATACAAATGAATTTCGTTATTTTTAAGGGAGTCTCTTTTCATGTTGGTACAGAAAATGTTTGTCAACTTGGTGATCAAACGAAATGTTAGCTGTATTCAATTCCTGAAGAACGTTTCAAACAGACGCTCGCAGCCTAAGACATTTGCTCAATTTTGCCTATTTTTAAACTTTGAAACGTTGAACCTAAAAGTCAACCAGACCTTCAACTGCTTTCTTGAATTAAACAATGTTATCGTGGCCCTTCTTTTGAAGGACTACTTAAATTAATTAGCATTCTTTTCTTCAACTTACGAAACGTAATTGGTTTTTTCTGGAAATCGGTACTTCTTCCAGATCCCATCTTAGAGGTTTGCGAATATGTTCAAGAATATGTCCAAATATCTTTTGGAATGAACATACCCGTAATGGGTTTAAAAGTCCATTGGGTACCATAAAGGGTCATTGAATACCGTGTGTGCAGCGCTTCGTTTAACTTTTGCCCATTATTCTAGTCTTGCAATGCACCAGTTGTTTCACCAAACCGAAAGACGCGTTCGTGTTGGATTTTCCTTTTTTGACGTTCTTCGTTTCACTCCATGCTGTGAATTAATCGTACAGCTGTTGGTAAAGTTTCATGATTCTCGATCGGGATTCGTCAAACGTCAAACTAATGAAGCTTCATTTCGATCTCGGAATGACCACATTCTAAGGCTATTTCTTATTTCCTCCTTTTTATCGAAAACTGAGACACCTTTATGCATCATTCAATTCCATGATATTCTCTATTAATATATTGTTGAATGAAGCAAGTTTTAAATGTTATGTTCTCAGAACACAGTCAAGATTTCAATTCCAAATAAATGTTCACGGCAAAAACGCAGTCAAAGGCACTCAGATTGCTTGTTTTTATTTGTCTAAGTAGTCCTATGGCTCCGAACTTCACGGTCCAATCTAGCAACGGGTGCCCACCAACCATGAACAGATTGAAAGCAGATCGAAATGCTAGAATGAACAGAGTTTTTTTGTTGTTCACGTTCTTAAGCAAACTACAGGTGAGATTAAGGTGGTTACATTTAGATTAGAGCGCACTTAAACCAGAAATTGGCAGCATTTTGTCGTTGAAATTTTCATTTTCAATCATAAGCCGTGAACCAACGTTGTTCAAAAGGTTGCTGAAAACTCTCTGAGGGTCTAATACCGGCTTCATATTACTTGGAACTGATCAAGTAGATATGGTCCCCTTGCTTTCATAAGCCTTCTGTTCTACTTGAATTTCACGCAAAGGTTGAATTACACTCGATCAAAACAAGGTTGGTGTGAACAGGAGAGCTAAATCTCATCTGGATCTCTGGTCTATAGTGTTTCGTGCTGTACTACATAAATAGAATATTGTGTTAACCGAAAATTTAGGCTGTTTCTGCGTACACATTCAGTGAAAAAATGCCATAAATGAAAGATTCAACCGAGATTCGGTTGTCTGTCACTATCACCAACTTGATTTGCAAATGAATGCATAATCTGGCCATCTCACATGCATCATGTAACCATTCAACAAGAAGAATTTGCGGATAAGCGATGTTGTTGTCAAACACTGTTAACCAGATTTCTGGGAACAGCCAAGTCTGAGGTGACTCAACATTGTCTGCTGTTAGAATACACCACATCTTGTCAGCTTCTCTGTAAGATGTTCCCAGTTCACACTGATTTCCATGAATTTCATTTCTCGAGAAAGACCGATTTCAATCCCTCCCACAGGGTACTCTGTTTTGGAAGGATGTGTGTTCCAAGATAATCCATGATTTCCGCTAAAAATTAGCAGCTGAATCTAAAGTGGGTTAGCCGCTGAAGGATACCTGACAATCCGGTACCAGAGATTGCAGAGCTGCAGCTTATACCCCCTAAAGTTTTGCTGAGATACAGTGTAGGTGGAACCGCAGTCAAACAGATCCCGCACCAATAATTAGCTACGCGAGGCCTCGTTTGAAAAACAAGTCAACAACAGCTGAGAATGGTTTGAGTGTGTCAGTAAACAAAAGTGCACAGTGAAAATGAAACTATCCCAGCACACATACTTTTTACTAGTCTGATAGGCTCGGTGTATGCCGAAACGAACAGAATCTGTTAATTCCGCACTCGATTTCTCATGAAAATGATATAAAATGTAAATTTCACGTCATTTACCAGCCGGCAAATTTTCCCATCTATCTCTGATGGTTTTTAGCAAACATGGTGTTTACACTTAAGCGGTGGCCGAAGTTAAAATGCATGGAGGTAGTTGTGGCCAATTTCACCGATAATGTCATTTGAGTTCGACGAATATAGGATGACAATTAGTTCGAATTTTAAGATGTTACAATCATACACTTTGTATGTGACAAATCCTAACCCCATTGTAGCACTACTTTTCGACCACGTATTTTAGCCTGAAGGAGGAAACCTGAGAAATTATTCATTTCCTTTTGAAGACCAGCCTCATTTTCAAGCTTCACAAAAATTCCTCTCATTGGGTCACCTTGAAAAGAATTGCTCAGGCATAGAGTAGGCAAGCATATGATATTAGGTGATCATAATATCAGTTTGGTTTCACATTGATTCGACCGAATTTTAGATGTGTCTAAATTGTTAGCAATCCTGTTCCGTTAAACCGGTTGGATACTATCGATTTTAGTTCACGGTATCCGAATTCGACGGAATAAGAGCTGGTTGCGCCTGAAATTTATTGACTGCACGTCCATCAACTCAATACATATTGGTCAGACCATTAGAATAATCGGAGACAAGTACTCCACATGCTAGTACTGAACTACACTCCCATGGAAACGCGGTCGTTTTGTGAAATCTCGTAAGCGTGACAAAATGACTGAATGGGGAGCATTTATTTAAGAGAAAAAACAACAAACCTCTGCAAAGTACCAGGGTTAACAGCGTGAGGTATTCAAAACCTCGGCATGTGTTCTGAAGCACTTTTTGTCCCTGTTTCGTCTCAGAACAGTCACGCAGTTATGCAGTGGAAGAGTATGTCGATTGCTGAAAATCGCTGGCACCTATGCCACCATGCTAGAATGATTCCTCCTCATTTGAGTATATCACAATGGACCTCGGAAAGTCAAAACAGTTTTGGTAGGAATAATAGCCTTCTGGATGTAGGACATCAGTATGTTCTGGTGCTTTTGATGAATAAGCGCATTCGTACACAATGTCCACTGTTTCATCCATACCGAAAGGCTGTAAAGTGACATAAGGAATCGGGGTGCACAAACTGTCCCGTTCAGACGTTCCTTCAGCATTCTGGTTATCTAAAATGGTGGCGGAACGCATTTCATTTACAGCATTGAAATCGGTAAAGCTTGCAGTTCGCTCGGTCGTGAGTAGCAGGTTAGATGGAGGTGTACTTAAGAGTTCTCGGGTAGAGTTACCGCGATCTTGATCGATGTTTGGTGTACTGCAAACAACAGTTGCAATTGAACGGGTCTGTGAAATAACCGGAAAGTTTTCTGATACTTCTTCGTCCACCGTACACTGTGCATGGTGTTGTGAACTCTGTTCTTGTTGGGAGCATATTCCATTTTGGGTATATGTATCATAGTCGGCGTAGAAATCGGTGTTGCATGTGTGTGGGTAAAAGTAGGGAGGAAGTCGGAAACCAGCACCTTGGGAAATAATAGGGTATGGAGATGCCAGCGGAAGGCTTGGTACTCTTGCTGTGGTGGACGAAATAGGGGAGGAATAGGAGCTCTGAAGGATTGGCCATGTTGTTGGTTGTTGAGTAGTTTGGTCGTGATGATGTTGCACAACATTCACCTGAGGTGAGTTGCCTTGCTTCATAAAGCATTGCTTGGTTGATCCTGATCCGACCTTTTCAGTGTCTTTCAGCTGGCTTCTGGCTGGTTGCCCATATTTACCGCCATCGGTTAATTGTCTAACTCCAGGACTTGGACCGGCGCCAAGACTAGTTACCAAAGCACTGCTTGTTGACCCAAGTGCCGGTTGCTCTTCTCCTGGAAATGCCAGGGCGAATAACAATTCGGGCTCGTAGACAAACCGATACACGTACCGTTCACCCGAAACCTTTTGCATTATGCCCTTCTCGTAGTAGTACCGCAGTGAACGACTGAGTTTATCGTAATTCATAGCCGGACGATTTTTCTGAATTCCCCACAGCCGGGCGACCTGTGAATGCCAAGATCGTTGGTTTTAAAATTCGGTTGTGGACGGCAAAAAAACAAAGATCTGAGCTAATCTGAATGCCGTCACTATCCTACGTCGGAAGGCAAAGAACAAATTTTAGCGCTGAACGGCATCAGACGACTTTGCTCAATTACTTATTTTCAAGAGGCAGTATTGTTGAAGTTAACTATGAAAATGCTTATTTGACCATTTGGACAAAGAAATCCATGTCTCTTTGGTGAACAGTTTAAACGACATACCATGAAGCCCAAGTAAGCCTAACGTGGAGCAACAAAAATTGTTACAACACCGTCATACAGCTGACGCCGAATGATGAAATTTTGCAAGAGATAAGGATCTGTTACAAGTATGAGGATTCCATAGTCTTTGGAAAGACGTCGGCAGAATTTATAGATATGTAACAAGTCAGGAGTGGTGGCACGGTTGAAATAAGTTAGCCAGCCCAGACAAGGAGATCTGGTTTCGTCGTAGATCTCACAAATCTACTGAGCGTCATGGGTCTGAGGGTACCCAAAAAAAACTCATTTGGATTTACACAGTTACAGGTAATAAGAAACAGGGATTTTTTTACAACTTATGGCTGAAATCGCTCTGCGCAAGATCGTTCAGCCAAAGTAGGCACAACCAGAAGTTAGTGACATGAGACTGTACTCCATTCAGTGAGCGGTATTTAAAAAGCAATTGATGAGACAAGTCCACTTCAACTGAGATCTCATCCTGTAAGTTGTCTGTTTATGTTAAAAATCCGCGAAGCAATGAATACATTTTTATCCGCTAGTGACCGAATGCGTAACAGTTTGGCCGCTAGCAGCTGGTCAGCATTGTGATTAGTTCGAACACGATGCATTTAGCGCCAAATCCTTCGGTCAAGGAGTTCACTTCACGTATTCGTATACTGACTGGCTCCTTGAAAACCGATTTTCAGATGAAGGGTTAACTCTTCGAAAGAGTTATTTCTCCCCTACCCAATGACAGTTGGTGGTGTGAGGACATTTGTGAGTATTCAATGAAGATTTCGTCCTGTAAGTAAAGTATATCTATGCCGAAAAACCGAGAAGCACAGTACAGATAATGTTTTCTTATTGGGATAGAACCACCACATCGAACTACCAGCAGGGTAGTCGCGGGTTCAAAGTTCTCTGAAGTTTGGTGAAATGCGCACTGATGATGGTTTTCAGCTGGTGCGACATTCGAGATATCGTGATACACGTATAGACGTAGTACACTACCCATGAGGTTGCTGAAAATTCTTCGACAGCCCATAATCGGTTTCACCCTTCTTGGGTTTATCAGGTTGGCGCAGTCCCCGAGTATCACGATATCTCCAGTATCGTACTAAATGAAACACTGGGTGGTCTGGTGCAGCACAATCACTTGCTTAAAAACATCATAAACGAGGGATTCAGGTGGGTTCCAGGTGGGTCCCCCGCAAAACCAAATTGGTTTGCAAATGAGTGTATTTCGCTAATTTCGTGCATTTTGGATTCAAATGGAACATACTTTTGACGGATGATGTTGATGATAAGCTCCGAGTAGGGAAAAACCGGTCGTGGGCTGTTGATGAGTTCTCAGCAGCCTTATGAGTGGTGTATTACGTCAAACCCCCAATTCTTCTCATCCCAACACTTCAGGTCAGTGTTCTAAGGTTATCCTACTGAACTCTGCCATTAGCATAGTTTTGTAGGCCGAAATAGTAAGAAAAGCAAAAGTGTAGTCATGGCAATCATTTCTCTCAGGAACACTTGTGCATTCAGTCATGACCGTATCTTCTGCTACTAGTGCACTCATTCACGTCATCATTTTATGCTTTTTTAACCAATGTTTAGGTTTTTATCAGGCCCATCACGCTTTGTGCTGGAGAGTTAACATTTAGGTATGCTAAATTTGCTCATGGGTGGCTCCTGAGACTCGATCATTTGGCGGATTGTTTGCCAAGACAGGCTCTAACCAAAGTAATGGAAACAGAGTGGATAAAAATGGAAAGGTAACAGGAATCTTCCTGCGCTCCAGGTTATAGAATTCCGTATTTCCGTAACCCGTTGAAAGAAAAGTTTCGGGACTGACCAGCCGTTGATACTCAGGTCTGCCGCCACTTTGGCGGCAGTGCGTCACAGTAGAGCTGACCTCAGCCTGAATGTAGCCTCTGGACAGGTGTCGGACCTTTTACTTAGAGTAAGCTCTAGGTCGCCCATCGATCATGGCAACATTTACTTCAATATTTATCGACCGGGTGCAATAAAGTGTATTAGAAAGCCACGAGATTTGTGCCTTTTCGTAAAGGGAGGTTTGTATGAGCATCCGTAAGGACAAACTTCTGCGATGTGGATTTGAGTTATGGGAGGTAGGAAACACATCTGGTTCCAAATTAAGCAATTCAGTGCCAGCACGTTTCAAAAGGCTTCTCTGGGGTAGTAAGAGGAAATAAAAACACTGGTGGATTTAAAAGAGCTACTTACCTATCTGTTGTTCCGTTTAAATGGCTCACGCCCCTACGTTTGACGGTGTGCGACTGCTGACCTTAGCTCTGAATATTGGGTGTCTTACATAAGTACCTCCATAGATTTCGCTCAAACACCGAATCTACATGTAATCTGGCTACTTACGAGTAGCCAGTTAATTGACCTTAACTTCTGACAGTTTTCATGAAGAACTCGACAATCACCGAAACATTTCGTGAGTTGGAGCTCACACACATGAAGAAATTGTTGAAACTGAAGACTCAATGAAATTTACCCCTGTGATATTGTTTTGCATAATTCGCAATACACAGGCAGCCTCGAGTTTCCGCTGCGAAGCCATTCAGCAAAAGTTATTTTATTTAGTTTAAGCAGTGCAGGACAAGATCTGCAAGCAGTTCTGATTAAGGCCTATCAGGTAAGCGTAGTCTCCGGAAACTGAGAAAATCAGTTCCTAACATGAGCAACGGTTTGTCTAAATGCTCACGTTTGAGCTCATCTACCTCCTGAACCCCAAACAGGACGAAATCGTTCGTGAGCTGTCTGCGGATTTCAAGCGATCGTCCAATCTTCCAGCTATAAACGCATAGTGCACATATGAAGATAAAGATATAATTGCGGTTTCCATACATGGGATTATTGCACCTTGAAAGAAAAAATGGCGAAAAATTTCTCACCTCCTCTGGATCATTGAGTTTAAACTCCAAAGTTCTGCCGGTCCAGCAGATAAGGTGCTGGCTTTTGGAGTCATCCAAAAGAGCCACCAAAAACTGCCACAGTTGCAACGAACCTCGATGGTGAAAATTTGCTAAAGCGGCAGATGCAGCTGCTACTACAGGATCATTCGCCAAAGAAGTGGCAGCTTGTATTTGACCTTCGGCATCACCGTTTAGTAATTTTAGAGCTGATTCCTTTTGGGTAGGATTTCCAGTAAAGGACCTAGGCTGAATAACACTTGATGGTAATGACGGAGACTCTTCCAGCGTTGTTGGTGATGCCATTGTTTTTGTTGGTCCAGCAAAGCAGCATAAACCGTGTTGCGTATTTCCTAGTTTCTGAGGATAGTTGGTATTCATCAGTGTCCCACCGCAGGGCCGGAAAACATGATGGGTTTTTCCATCTTGCTCTGAATAATAGATATATTTTGTTGGAAACAGAGGACTGTCCAAATTGTCCAGTGTACTTGACACTTCCAAAATCCCACTAGGGGATCCATTACCTGCAGAGAACAGCGGGCATAGAAAGTGGCAGTAGTGAAACAGACCTTCGAAGTGTATTCACACATGACATTAAACTTAGTTTTCCACAACTGAATTTCTTCCGCTTCAGTCCAAATACAAAAAAGAGAACTGTTGGGAGGCACCCTCCTCACAAGAGTCACTTTTTCACCGCGAACCAAAATCGTGGTACACGTGGACGTAGGTTCAGCGATAAACTAGCCATGTGGTTGTTTGTGATACACAATATGACAGCATCGAATTAATTTCCGGTATACTGACCACTACTTAGAATCTGGATGCTGTATCTGGCACAAAGCGACTATAATAGAGTATTCTTCACAAGTTCGCATTATTTTTCCCAGCTTAGTATTTTGTTGTCCCCCTCATGAAACTGAATGATATCTATCCACTGTTATTATCATTCTCACAGAGGATAAGTGCTTTCCTTGTGGAAGATATAAACCACATGATTTGATCAGGACGGTTAGATTCCTGAAATCAACTTCTGAACGCCCGGAACCTACTGCTCCACCAAAAGCTCAACTGGAAAGCCGGCAAGCATCCAGGCCAGTCAATCATTCGATCAATTCAGTAAAACCTGATGAGTGTTCTCTGCGCCACAGAAGCACGACCGAATGTGATCAGCGTTCAGGATTTTCACAGAGGTACGATCGATGTTGATGGGTGATCACTAACGCCTATCAGACAGCCTGGATCAATGTCAGAAAGTCCCCTTTAAATAGCGTTACAATTTTGCACTCGCACTCGCACTCGCTCTCGCTCTCTCACTCACTCGCTTGTTCGGAATACAGCTGTTGTGTTCCCTTCTGTGAGTCTTTTCTCTTCGACACTAGGCACTGGAGCGGGTCAGCAGCAGATACCTCAGATTGACGAATTAGAAGATATAACAAAGTCAGACTTCCTCATAGCATAATGACTGACATGAACCTTAGCTTCATTAGAGAGTTAAGCTCCATGAGTTAAGTTAACCAAGATTCACAGTCCCTTCGCTCTAGAATACATGCACGAGAGGATTAACTCCTTCGGTACCGTTAATTTCATTATTCAACCTAATGTAGGGCGAACACGCCACAAGAAACAATACTGGATCAAGAACTCGCTCACACATACTACGGTGAACTTTCGTCACCCGGATTCTCCATTTAAACCAGATATGGTCTGATTGGCCATAAAAATGCACTTTTATTGACAAGCTAACAACAGCTTGTGGTATGCGATTAACTTACTGACTTACTGCTGATTGGCCCAGTTTTGCATGGTCGCCTCAACCCTGCACCGACAGATAGTGCGCTGCGCTGTGCTCTATAGCGACTAGCCTGGCGACCCCAGCAGTTGACGGCAGTTGAATTACTGGCCAGTGGGGTCAATTCATCAGTGTTGGGTTGAGTGGGTAGATTCCTCCGGGCAGAATATGAGGGATGTATCCGCTTTTTGTCCACGTTTTCAATCCAAATATCACACCGCGAGCAGATGGGCAACGAAGCAGCGCACCCCAGTTACCCACAGTATCATCAGCCTCAGTAAATATCACGTCATTCAGATACAAGGAGCGAAAGCAACCACAAGCGTCTTCGGTTGTGGTGATCCCTCTTCACCAGCAGTTGCAATTTCAGTGGACCAAGGGATACCGAAGTCGATTCAGCTAACAAAAGCTTACTTGTGGTTTTCATCCGCGAGCGTATTTTGTGCTGATAACAGTATCAATGATATCGATGAGTAATTCGGACAGCGTCTCCCAGGTAGTCAGTGTCTCCAGCTAAACCCTTAGTTGCCCAATATCATAGGAAAAAATGGGCAATCAGACCGAAAGTGGGACCACTTAATATGAGTTGGACCAGCCCGCAACAGGTGGCTCATTTTGGCAATTCAAATTACAGAATGAAGCGATTCTAACAAGTAAATAGGGTACAGAATTGACCAAGAAATGGATCAATTTACTCTAACTATCTGCATGACAATGCTTCGGACTTATTTTCAGACATGAATAAACTTTATGCAGACATTTTCTCCAGAAAGGGTTATCTCGGTTCTGTAAGTGTCCACTTCATAAGCAGATCACTGCATTTCGTCGGCAAAAGACCCAAGCGAATTTTGTTCCGCTGCTACTTGCCGTCAGAGGTTGCTATGATTTGACTGAATCCTAGAAAGTACTTTAGCGAGTAAAGGTCTTTTTCCTCAGAAGAAACAACAAGCGTTCCCCGCTAAAAAGAGTCTATAGTGCGAGCCCTTCCTCCGAAAAGCAGCAATCTCCCATATGAGGTTGCCTACCAGCCCAGCCTATGGAAAAAGGTACTTATACCGAAATCAGTGGCATCTAAGTCCACCCGTTTAGAATTAGACGTAGCCTGAATGACAGTTAAAGAAAAAAGGGTGCGTTTAAGGTAGAATTTCAGTGAGCAGGTTTAAGCACTTCCAATTACAGTGAGCATTCTCAGTTGCAAACTAAGGAAAATGAACAGACATTGTGCTGGTCTCAGTTATTTCTGGGTGACTGGTAGGGTAGGGGATGGATGTCCCTCCTACTGCTCACATCGAGCCCCTTGAAGGTCTTCTCAAAAGTTCCGTGAGTAATGTGGCCCTTCGAAAGCTTAGTGGAAAGCTCTGTGTGAAAACGCTTGTAGATCAAATGCCTTACATCGTCGTCATACAATTAGCAATTAGGTTTGCTACAAAATGGCACTTGATTTGATCAGTTAGAGCCCATCGGCCCACACGAAAGAGGAGGGTCACTGATCTCCACCCAGAAGACGTGTCAATTTGACAGATAGTTACCTATATCTTTGGGTTTCTTGTCATCTTTCATCCCTTTTGCCTATTTCAAACCATCACGTCATCTCCACCCACTGCTTGTTAAAACACTTCAGGCCTGGTAGTAAAAAACCATCATGAAATTGTCATATTTTTTGCCTGGGATACTCAGAGTTGGCTTGTACCTTCACCGGACTTAGCAGCCATTGAAAGATTAGTGACAGATGAAAACCTTAGCCTACTATCTAAAATCTTTCCCCACAAAAGATCGTCGGTGATGGTCATCCATGAACTTTGTTGTCAATTGTGATATTGGTTTGTGAACGTGAATTAACATTAAGGAGAATTGAGAGGAGGAATACTAGAAGAACAAACAATATCATGTTACCCAGACCGCTTATGTCAAATGATAATTGTATTTGATGATGGTTTCTACTGGAATTTGTTTTATTCAGATGGAGACTTACTAACGGTGTATTTTGAACGTTCCCAGTGCCACAGGTCATCCAAAGGAGTTCTCAGGTCCACCGGTGTCCACTGTTTAGAATTATGGAAAAATATCTCTTCTTGTTTCGCTTCCATTGTCTCGCAGTTTGTGTCACCGTACGCAAAGTCAGCTAAAGGATCTTGATCTTGATCTTGTCTTGACACCAAGTGCGAATCAACCGATTGAACACTCTGACAGCAGGTATTTTCAAAAAATACCTGGTCCGTTGGGTAGAGCAGGACGTGCTTCGAGTTGTAATTCTTCTCTGCAGATAATCTTGATAAGTGAAATAGGAAAGATTAAAATATTTACTTCTGAGAAGTATCCATATTTTGGAACGAAGCTTTGTTTTTTACAAATTCCGTAATTCTTGTTTTTTTTTAGTTCCAATTTCTCTCAAACAGTAGTTTAGCTCATGCTAACACTCCTTTCGGCCTCTTGGATCTTGATTGTGAGTTCGCAGACAATATTGCAAATGCATACACAGAACATATAAGGATCAATATTAAACGGAAGTCTGTAGGACCTTTTGTAAAGAGTGATAAACTAGTCAGGATTCATCAGCGTCGAACTTTCGTCAGCATATTAGAAACAGCCAACGTGACAAAAGTGGGACTCAATAATATCGGTAAAATGTAGACTAGAGGTTAATTCAGATACGAAATAACACTTAAAACACACGGAAGCCGAGTTTGAAGGAAGTCAGTAGAACACGAGAAGTAATCGTGATGCTGTGACAAGCACGCAATGCTTACGTGCGCATCAACCATCTGGCCAATTTGGAAGCACTTTTTTTCGATAAAAACTATCAAGTTTCCACGATGGCTTTCTGCGTTTCGCTGCTGAGATGACAGCCTTCATCATGAGGAGGACTTCATGTCAAGGCTAACATGTGCGGATCTCACATAACAGATGTTCCAAGGCTAGATGTCACCTTTTTGCTCATCTGTCCACTTTTAGTGTCAAAAGTGTGTTCTTAATACCAAAAACCCACGGTCGACTTGACGCCCTTTCAAAGGTGAGTACGAATGCAGGCTGTCCGGCGCAGTAAACAGAGGTGCGTCTTCCATGCAGTGTGGAGTTCTGCTGATGGTAAAAATTGACGGATAGTTGGGAAATGGAATTTTACAGAAGAAAACATTGAGTATTGCTTTTCCGGGGAAACATCTTTTAAAATACCACTTTTCGAAATATGTTTCCCGTGGAACCGTCGTTAGTTGACATTCCGTTAAGCACATAAGACGAATTAATTCTGCTTTTGCAATTGCTTGAACCAGGTGGTGATGAACGCATTGAAAGACAGTAGCCATCTTCCCTACCTCGAGCACTATTACTTGATCGTTTGCCATCTGCCATTTGGGTACACTCAAATACCCCTGCACTTTCAAGTCCAGAGCCTTTTCCAATACGACCTTTCTCTGAGGCGGACGGCTCTACACGTGAAGTTTCTATTGACATACTAGGGTATAAAATTGAAAAAAGCAACTCGCTATATCTTTACTTCGTGTCCATAGGTCCTTCTCAACTCTCGAGATGATTTCAGAACATAAGTTAAGGGAAATTAACATATCCAAGATTTCTTCTTCTGATCAATGTAAATTGAGAGTGAACAAACTAAAGGCCAAAGGCTTATCCAAATAAGACAATGCGGGTAAAAGTGGAAAATATTTTTACGCAACGATCGACCGACCTGAGTGGCCAGAGATAACGAGAGCAGACCTTGGAAGTCTAAGCGCGTCTACGAACGCTTCTTGAGATCAAAGACATGGGCTGTGTGACCGAATCGCATTTGCTTTGCGTTAGGCTAAAAAGCGATATGGAACGGATATGGGCAGACATGCGCAGGATACAATGTTCTAGTGACGGCGACACTAGTTAGTGTCAGTGAATCGCGCAGCCACTGAGCTAGTAACTAACCTCTTCAATCCGACTGTCGGCAGACCAGGGTCATATTTCTTTAATTATGCCCCTCTGTATATAAACCGGTTAGTCACTTTCGCGAATGATATAAGCCGTACGTCATTTTGACCTTTCTGACGAAGATAACTGCCTGCGAACTCATCCAATTTAGGGTTCTAAAGCTGTTTCACGGTTAGTCCCAGTAAATGAGGACAAGTGGGACGGTAAACACTTAAAACTTGAACAATTTAACAACTGTGACAGACCATCCGCTCTAGCTTTGTTTCAAGAGGTTTGAAGATTACTGAGTTTATATGTGGCTAGCCTTCCAGGGATACACAGACCGTTTAAAAAATCTTACCCTGACAGCAACAGATGCTCTATACGCCCGAAATGTTCAGCAATACTTTGAGAATGGTGGATGTGTAATCTTACCATATGGATTTGGAGAAATTAAACAGACGGATTGGGAATCGAGGGAAGCTCAACATCTTACACGCAGCATTGGGAACATGTGTTTAGGGGATCCATTCGAAATCCTGAGTCTATTCTTTTACTACTTTCGGCACTCCTGTACTTAGAAAAATTGACGAACATTTTGTAGACAGCTAACGTTGGCTACAGTGCTGAAAACAGACAAACAAGACAAATATGAAAACTGAGTTCAGATAGGCCACTCCAGTTGTCCTCTATAAACTGAATAAATAAAGGCGAAGTACAGAATATGAACGGCGTTCAGCCACGAGTCGACCGTCACACGTCGCGCTCTGGATCATATTGAACTGATAAACATCGATATATTTTGCTCCTACTATGGAGTGCAACAAGTCGTTACAGATAAAAATCTCACCCATGAATGATTTGATTGTTTGATTTCTGTTTGGGCCTTCATCTATGGACCCAAGCTGGATTTAGCTCAACTGTTAAAAGGAACAATTCGTACGACGAAGAAATGAACCGCAAAAACTATTGCCTACAGAGTACTTAGGTGAGCCATTGTAATAATTTGGAAAATCGAGAACCTAGAAAGCCCTTTCTTTCTCTGGGGATTGATCAAAGTTCGTCGTAATGACAACACGTGGCGATTGAAAGACAGTCCCCATTGAAAGATAAGACACTTTGTACAATTTTTTGTTCTGCTTTATACTCTTCTACTGAAGATCTGGTGAATAGGTTAGCAGAACTAAAACCCGAGGACTTAGTGAAAAATGGTCACTAACAACTCTAGTACTGCCTTATTGAGGAGACTTTTGCCCTTTCTATTGGTATCACCCTCTCGTGACTGAACTGAAATTTCGATATTTTTCGGGTTTGGTTATGCAGTTGTCATTCTCTGCTTGAATAAAATAACATTATTGAGTTGTACAGTGAAGTCCATACAAGGCCCACGATGTAGGGCCAATTGGGACTGATTGCCCTAGATCGACGAGCAGGGTCAGGCATTTTGGTTTGATGCTGGAGTATACATAAAAATATAAAATATTGACGCTGATCATTTGAGGAATAACTCTAACAGTATGATGAGCCGATCAAAGGCATCTGATGCCGAATTCGCTTACCTATTATTATCAACGGAGTGGTAACTCAAGGGTAGTTGAGGTGGCAAGCGCATTGACGTACATCGTATAGAAGAAGCGTTTTGTGCACACCTGAATGCGGTACAACATCCAAGTTACTCATTTCCTTGTCAATCTCTGGACGCAAGTTACTGTGGCCAGAATTCAAGTGTTGGGTAAGCGTTTGTGAATCCGGCTCCTCAGCTCTCCTCGTTTTGTCCACTAAAAACTTCACTTGAACTTCACTGTGCACTTAATGCAAAGATAATATTTTCTGACACATTTTCCCATCTGACCATAGCTCAGTTTCACCAGCTCATGAGTATGAGTAGACCAACAAAAATGCAGGTGCTTTGAAATCAAGACTTCAGGTTTTTACGATGCCATCTTCGGAATTTTTCGGGAACTCATGTAAAAACTGAGGGGTTCCCAAACTCGAGATTACTGTAGACCAGGGTCCCATTGGCATGAGTTCACTTCTGCCCATGTTTCCTAACTTGACCGCGTTAACTAAGGTCGAACCAGCAATTAGTGGATGACATGCCTGTTGAGTACAATGAACATAGTTTCAAATCCACACAGCTGACGGCGTTTCCCCAGTAAACATCATTAAGGACTATTACTCATTAGTAAAGGCTCGAGGTGGGGGAACAACGAGAACAGCACAAAGTTTGACAATGAGTATGGCGTACGACAAGACAGGTGGTGTTTAACTATATAGCCGGTTAGTCACTTCGACAGGTATTGGCACACAGCTAGGCTCCCAAACCTCGGTAGCTGACTTACAATGCGCCGAAGATATCATTCTATTAAATGATAACTTGGAAGAATTCCAGAGTGCGGTGAATAACGTAGCTCACTCACCAGTAGGACTGAAAATCAATACGCCAACCTGTATGAATGACCTATCCAGTCTCTCAACATAAGAGGTGAAATAAATCAAAACAGTGATTATACCAAATTACCCTAAGGCTGGCCTAATAAAGAAATTCAACAGCGTATGGACAATGCCCAACACCCATTCATGTGGCTGAACTTCGCCTCGTGGGAAAAATTCAGAATAGTTTACGCACGAAAGTCTACATCTTCAGAGCAGTCATCCGTCCGGCTCTGATTTACGCCTGTGAAACATGGCCTCCACTACCATGTGCCCAATATTTTTGGAGGATTTGACCGATATAAAGTTTGTTGTGTAGAATTTCCATAAATGAGTTATGAAAACGCCCCCATCTTGGTTCCTCTACAACGTTTTGGGCCTGAAAAAGCGCCTATGTGTGTAGTGGTTCGGAAATCCGTTGTGCAGGAGCAGCCCCGCAATCACCAAACCAACCTTGACCATTACATCGTGTCAAGGATATTGTTACCCCTCTGAGGACAAATGAAAGCCTGGCTGAATAGGGTAAAGAGCGAAATGAATCAGCCTGTTTTCCTTGTGGTCTATAGAGTCAATCGCTGAAGCTGACTTCGGATCGCAATTTGTGAAGACCTGACTGCTCCTGTCTGAGGAAACAGTTGTCAAAAAGTAAAAGTAGGTAAAGTATTGGGTGCTACCTGTTGAAACCGTTAGCTTTCATCAAATACTACGATTTCACTCTCACTTCTGACATATGCAAGGTTATCTGCAGACCTGAAGTCTATGG